GTTTCTGCTGTTTATTGTTTTTGAACTTTGGTTGCTTTTTTGAAACGTTATGCAGATTAATTTATATAATTCCATCAACAAAAATTCAGTCATGCAGGTACAACTTGAACTGTATTAGTAAAAATGCAGCAACAAGTTTGCAGAGGAAAAAACATTTTATTCAAAGTTTTGAATGCCTTGAACTTCATGTTAGACAAATGGAATGGTTTCAACCACCCCAGAAATGGATGAATTACCCAATTTACTGTATAGCACTTTTTGTGCATTTTTTTCCATTCTGGCCCACAAACTGCTTTACTGTTTGAATGTGGCCATTGACCACTTCTGAGTTGGGCACCACTGGTCCAGATATTCAGGCAGCTTTCTCTCAAAATTCCTCAAGTTGAATTGTCTGTATATACCTGTATATGTTGGGGTACCACTTCTCTCCCTTTTCCAAACATTTCTTGGCATGCAAAACTCTATCCATAGCTTAGCATTACAGGAAGTACATTATCTCATTATTCTCCAAGACGAATTGTCAAGGATACCTGGAACCATGTCTCAAATTGGCCCTGTCTAAAAATGTATGTGTCCCCTTTGTCCAGTCTTGAATTGTCTGTCTTGATTTGTCCGTATCCAACAAAAGCACACATATTGCTATACTGCCAGCACAGTTCATGGACAATCAAGAAAGGAGAACTTTAAATGTATTCTGTTTTGGAAAATAAATTAGTGTACATTTATGATGAGATTATTTTGAAGTAATTTCCATGATTGAAGCTCAATTTTTTGAAGAGTTAGCATTTTAAAAATAATTATATTTTTTGTCTGGAAATTTTGTAGGGGTCCATGCTTATCTATTTAGATTTTAATTTTCTAGATATATTTGGCAGATTTTTAAGATTAAAGTTGTAGCGTAAGTTAAACCTTCCTCTTGTTGCGGCGTCCACATTCTGTGGACCCACGTGAGTGCCAAATGAACAAAAGTGACAAAATATCTGATCATCAGAAACTGATTCTTTGTTGGATATCCAGTGAATCATATCAACCTCATCGGCAGAAATCGAGCCTAATTGAGATTCGTGGGTGTATTTTAGTGGATATATTCCTGAATTCGGAGAATTTCCACGATCAGGAAGCATCGCAGGGAGGTCAGATGAACACAGCATATATTTTCAGCTATAACGAACCCTCATGGGTCTTTCATTAAATTGAAACTAATTCAAGCCCAGCTATTTAAATGTAAAAGACGAGGTGGGCGCAAGTTCATTGAACCGGATTTGTGAGGCACAAAATCCCCTGTAAAGGTTATTTTTGAAGGCTTGTTCAAATTACAGTCAACCCCCGTCTAACGGACTTGATTTGTGCAAGGGACGAGTCTGTTTGACGAAAAGTCCTTTACACAAAATCAATTGCATAAAAAATTAAAAATTTCAATTTTCAACACTAATTTTAAACCAAAAGAAGTCTGTTTGGCGGATTTTGTCTGTTGGGCGGGAGGAAAAACTGCTTGCAGAGCTGGTCTGTTTGGCAAAAATCCCTTACACGGGAGGTCTGTTAGGCAGGGGGTCACTGTATTTGTTCAGATGTGTGCTAATGTGAGAATGCGTGATGCCGCGAAAATCGGGTCTATATGTGGCACTTATACGCAGTGCTTCATCAGTCACATGTTATTTAAGCACCTCTCCTATGACAGGCTCTTATATAATCCAAATAATATAGCAATATTTTGAATGTCAAGATTTGACTGAGAAAATAAATAGGCAAAATAAGTTGAGCGCGCTGCTTGAATAGACTTCGAAATTGTGCAACAAATTTCGCGCTAATAGCTCATTTTGAAGCAAAGCTGATCCGATGCTCAAATAGGTATATATGTATAAATTAATTGCTATATACATACTGTATTTTAGGAATAGGTACATACTTAGCTGTCACTATACATAACATCAAAGTACCTAGCTAAATGTAGTGCAATACAAAAATCATCCAACCAAACTTTCTCTTTTCTAAAGAAAATAAGAAAGCAATCGATTGAATTAGCATTGCCGATCTTTTCTGAAACTGCACTGAATGAAGACTTCGAAAAAAGTTTCTGCTCGTGAAGCCATAAAATCGAAATTGCCTTGAATAAATTATAACAGTAATTTAAGGGTTTGGCAACTAAGCAGTTCATATACAGTATTTGAGCAAGATATTTCTCAAGGGTATGCGGAATGCTGAAATTGGCTCTTAATGTTGTGCCACAAATGTTCTTTATTGTGTTATGCATATCTTCGTTGGGTACATTTGAGACGGCGCATGCCGCGAATAATGTCATTCTAGAAGAGGGTTTTATTCAATTGTGGATATTGGATCCAGAGAGGACTTCTTACTGGTTCCATTGAGACCTGAAAAAAAGGGCCATTCATGCTGGCACCCACCAGGCAAACCCACGATTATTGTGTCCTGAGACTCCTGACTATTGTATGAGCATGACGGTTCAAAGAACCCTACCAAGATACACACTGGACCTTTTGTGCTCGGAATTGCATTGAACGCGTAGGAGGAAAGGGAAAAATGCGTTCGAGCCTCGAAATAAAGTATTGTACAGCACAGTACTCCTATTTGGGATAAAATGGGGAAATTTATGAAGAGATGGTTCCATCTCTGCCTCAGAAGAAGGTCAGATTGAATCCATGCTTCCTGGAGATCGAGTCATCCTCCACAGCAAACACGGAAGAAGATTTTTATTCAGTCCAAATGCACCTTCTTTCAGATCGTGATACTCCAGTGAAATTCTGTCTTCGGAAGAAACCTCCAAAATTCGTGAAAATTATCAACAACAAAAAATTCTGCATTGGGCTCTTTCAAAGTCGTATTTTATTCCATCAGCGGATGAGCACATGATCGACCAGATTATATCTTTAAAAAATAGTCAAAATTTGTGGATTCCCCCGTGAAATTTTTTTTAAATATTGTGCTCTTTCGAAAGCGGAATTTATTTCGTCGGTATGCAGATTAAAAGATTATTTATAGTGATAAAAAACCGTCAACATCCTTCAAGTCATGAATTAATTTTTTTGATATGGTGAGCTGTCAAAAAGCGGAATTTATTGTAATCAGCAGTGCGGACGACGAGAAAAATTATATCTTCCAAAGATTGCCTCAAAATCCGCCAGAACACCGATTACAATTCAGTGAGTATTGTGCACTTTCCAAGGTTGTATTTATTTCTGCAGCAGAGCAGATGATGAACAAAAAAGCACGCAAACTACCCTTGCCTTGTTTGGTAATGGCAATTTGTGCCATGAATTACTCATGCGAAAGTGTTCCGATTAATTCACACGCGTCTTGGTTGAGTGCGGATCGATTTGTCAACGACAGCCCTGAAGACATCAATAATGCAGCCAGTTTGGCGAAAACCTCTTTGGACGGGACTCAACTTTCATCAGCAATTGTTGTTTCCACGGAATATAATAATCAATCGACAACAACTTCCAACGCTCGGATCTCGCCAAATTCAGCAGTGAGTTCTCTGATGCTTCGAATTGCGCAGATAATCTGGATTGCTGAACGTCTTGAAAAATTTTGTTGATATTATGAATTAGTAAGTGCTGACAGCATGCAAACTGTATACCTCATGCAAAATGCTCATTCTTTCCCAACTTTGTTGTAGATATTTTAAAATATTTGTTGCATATGGAGCATGGAGTGATATCAGGCATGTATTTCAATTTGAACAGGAATATAATTATTTTCTAATCAATGGTGAAGTGGGTTATTCCGGCATGATAAAAAACTGCAGAGATAACAGTTCCCTTGAGTGAGTTTTCATTTTCATTAAGAATAATATTTCTTTCAACTTGTTTAATATACAAAATGCCTATCCGTTCCTGATTTTCGAAAATAAGATATCGTCTCAAGACATTTAAAATAAAAACCTGCGTGTTTCATTAAATAGACTACTGTATCAATATTTCAAATGTTCGAACATTCAACTTCTTGACATTTAAAATTTTCAAGGCGCAGAAAAAGCTTGCTAGCTTGGCGGAAATTTATCTTGTCTTTTTTACTTTACATTTGCCTTGCCTTCGATGATAATTTCGAAAGTTGAAACTCAAAAGATCCGGAAATCCATCCTTTATCTGCCCCGGAAATTTTTTCACATGAAACGAAAGTTCTTTTTTGAGCCACTTAAGACAGGAATTCTGTTGTGAAACATCTCGATTATTGTACTGTACATGAGTTTCTGTTACTCTAAAAAATCACCAATAAGTTTTACAACAGAAAATATGAGCCTCATTCATTAATTTATCATTCATTTTGAACAGTCCATCGATCGATAC